TTCATTATTTTCTCCACTGTTGGGAATATGCAAATTTTCCTGATTCTGCCACTAGTACCCAACCATTTTTATGCTTCAGCATTAGGTAATGAGCTCTTTTTTATTTTTATTTCAGAGAAACCTTGTCTAGACTTACTGGCAGCTCTGCTCTGAACGAAATTGTTGGTTCTACATTCTTTCTTTTTTTAAAGTGATCATCATTTGATTCTTTTTGCCTTTAATTTTTAATTAATTTTGTCTTTCTTCTGTCTCCTTTAAATTTTTTCCCTAGGTCCCCAAAAGTGTGTATGATATAACCAAACACTTGAAATATAAGTGTATTTGCCCTTTTCTTTCAGTTTCTTCTTTATTTTAAAAATGTATTTCTTATTAAGCACATGGAGTAGTGTTAGCATTTCTGCAATATGAAACAATTAGATGAAAATTGTGAATAATAATGGGGAGAAGTGGTATCTGTGCTTATCATACATTCCCCCTAGAAAATACTGCAAAAAGTATGGTTTGCTGAATTTTAGATACTCCATAATTACCATGTGGATGTGAGTTGTTATGGTAACTGGGTTTCCCCCATTCTATTAAATAACAGAGTAAATTAAATGGTTGCTTGAGATGTGATTGAATTGTCAGCTTTCAAACTAATGTTATCCTGACAGGAAATAGGGGTAGAGGGGTGGGAGAGAAGGAGGAGGAGAGGGAGAGAGTGAAAGAGGGAGGGAGGAGAGAGAGGAAAGGAGAAAGGGGAAGAAAAGAGAGGGTGAGGTAGGGAGAGAGAAAGAGAATATTTAATGTCCAGAAAGCACCTACAAGCAGAAGAGTGGCATTTACTTTAAAAAGGTGTCCTTCTTTCTCTTAGCTTCTCACTATTTGTCAGGGGACAGGAATAATAAAACATTATTTTGTGCCAACACAAAATAATTTTCAGAAAATTAAAGCTCATCATTTATTGTGTATAAACAATGAGACATTGAATAGCTTTTGGGGTCTCTAACACTAACTGCAAACGGTTTTTCTTCTGGGACTATGTGAAGAATGTGTGTGTATATCTCAAAGTCAAATGTAGTGGTTCAGCATTCGTTTGTGTGTCTGTATAGCAACTGAAATGAAGTACTTCTTACTTTTTTGATAATAAATGTACATTTGGAAAGTTTGAAAAATGACTTTATGAGATTGGGATTTTAAAACTAGAAGCAAATACTTAGCTTACCGATTAATTTTTTCATGCTGATCTCTGCCTTCCCATTCTAGTTTGACAGTCAAAGAACCTCATGAAAAGTTTGTCTTACTTGATTTAGCATATTTGATGAAGGACTTTTAAAATGGGTATTTTCTAGGGGCTGGCCACTTAACTCAGTTGATTAGAGCTTGGTGCTGATAACAGCAAGGTTCAGGGTTTGATCTCTGTACTGGCCAGTCACCGCCCCCCCCCCCCCCCCCCAAAAAAAAAATATATATATACACATTATACACACACACACTAATTAATTAAAAATAATTTTTAAAATGGGTATTTTCTTATAGATGGAGTAATCATTTTTGTTAAGATGACTCAAGAGGTAGAACACACTACCAAATTTCTGAGCAGTGTATTCTGAACAGTAAATTAACTAATTAGATGGCCATGTATTCTCCTCAGTATCAGTGAGGAAACATGATTGCTTCTTTATTTTCTCTCCCAACATTCCATCACATTTGTGAACTGTGTTTATAAGCAGGATATTTTTTGTTGAGCTAGTATTTCAGGTATACTTAATTCGAACCTGGATGATACAAATAAAAAAGTTTAGGGAATTTCAAAATATAATACCTGCTTTAAAATCTTGCCTTGTCCCTCACAATGTTTTTAACTGGAATTAAACATTTCCTGGCTAGAACATTTTCGACATGCTTAAATTTCAAATAACTGTGTTCTCGAAAACTTCTGTTTGTTTAGCTGTGTCTACTAACAAAAGCTTTGTAACTTTTTTTTTAAATTTACAGAATGATTTAAAGTTGAATACCATAATTTTCTGTGCTTACTTACTTATGATAGAAAAAAATTTACAGAATGATTTAAAGTTGAATACCATAATTTTCTGTGCTTACTTACTTATGATAGTATGGTTTTCACATGACAAGAATTTGTCTTAAAGAGAATGTTGTGTATTTAATTCTGTTAAACTCAGTGGGTACTTAATTGAAGATAAGACACTGTTATGGGTACCATAGGAGGGATTCCAGGATGGATAGGACATAATCTCTGTCCCTTAGGACTGTATATTAAGGTCCATACACACATAATCTAAGACAGAATTTGTGGAGAGTTACAGGAGAGCCACACAGAGCCACACTAGAAGTATAGAGATGGGAGAAATTATTTCGATAAGTAGAAATGAGAAGACAGGACATTCAAGGCAAAGGGAGCAATGAGTACAAAGGTCCTGTAAAGTATAAGACAAGCTTGAGAATTGACTTATAACTCAGTATCTCTTACACACATGGAGACTCTACCCTACTCTTCCCTAAGCCATAGGATTGCTCATCTCAACAGTCTAGCTGTCATTGCAAGAGTGTGTGTAGTTAGTTATAGAAAAAACAAACTTCACACGTTCATTACAAGTTGGTGACACAGTGATTGAGAACCCTGATTTGTCATCTGCTCAATATCTAGGTTGCAACTTCCTGATTTGAAATTATTTTGTTAATTTCCTTCAAAGCCTTCATACAATTATAGCAAATTATATATAATTTTTATGCTCTGTAAATGCTAACTGAATTTATTTTTTGACCTAGCGATATTAACCTAAAGTATAGGCAATATAGGTGGCTATATATTGAATAGAAATAGCATCCTAAAATGTGTGGTTTGTTTTGAAATGGTCAGGGGAGTTCCTTTTGCCCATAGCAAAACTAGAACATAAAGGGATGACTATCTTCAGCTGTTTCCCTAAGTCTCTCTTCATTAAGGGAAAGAGCAACAGAGTGCATTTTTAAAGACATTTATTCACAGCTAACTCCATAGAACACTAAGACAAGGGTACAAAATCCCATAAAACATGGGGACTTCAGGCGGCGTCTAGACTGAAGCATTCTACTGTGCCCCTGCACCCGCTTTCACCTATGGTTGAAGCAGCAGGGGGATTAGCTTTAACCTTCAGTTTATAACCTCCTAAAATAGGTTTCCTGGCATGAATGTCTTTGTGTTTAGAAGCTCAATATTTGATTTGCTCATTTTTATTTACATTTTTCCCATAATCCTTTCCTTTTTTTAACTTATATATAAGATGCAATTGAGACCATTGTCTTCCCCCCAAATTGCTCTTTTTTGCCAATTTCCTGAGGCTATGGATATTCTCAGTAGTGCAATGATATCCATGGATTATTTGGCAGGAAAATTTAAAAGCATTGTGAGGTTCTAAAGTAAGAGATAAAAATTTTTGTTGTGGTGTTTGAGTGTTGTTTCCATTAAATCCAGATTTCAAAGTAGGGCCTAAAGATAGTTAATATGTTTTATGAAAAGGGAACAGAATTGATAGGAAAAAAGTTGAAAAAGATTGCCTACATTTTGAAACAGAGAGCAGGGCCAAGAACTGATTAATGCCTCCCCAGCTGGAAATATGGCCTGGATAATAGTTTGCTTCCTGGATAACAAGAGAAGAAGCAGGAATTGGAAGGTTCATTCCTTCAAGGACGTATTGACAAGGCTCCCCTCACCCCACTTGGTGGAGTGAGTACTTAATCAGAAAAAGAAGAGCCCTGTCTTTATAATATTTTTAAAGTTCATTTCATGGTATGAGTATCTGTTTCATACTGTTTGAGTATCTGATTTTTAAGAAAGCAGCAATGCCTTAAGAGGTGACAGAAAGCAGTCAGAATTCTCTTTGTTCTCTTCATTCCCATAGATTCTTCATAATTTTGCTTTATAATCTATTTGTGCCTGTTTCTGGCTCTCCAGACACTATCTAGAAAGCTCTTTGCAGACACAGATGGATTGATAATCCTCTCATTCTTCCACAGTACCTTGTGTATAGTAGGCCCTCACTAAAACTGGGATTAAAAAACATACCAGAGGCCATGGGAACCAACTATATTCAGAGCGGCTGTTCTTTTCTCTGTCCTAAGGCACTTGAGAAAATTAATTCTTATAATACAGTAAAATGTCCTTAAACACTAGTTATGATTCTGGTGTAATTATATATAAATTTGTCCTTTTTTTTGTCTATAGAACACAGACTAAAGTTTTAGTTGTTTTAGTTTAGATGAGATGAGTTACAGGAAACATGAAATGTGATGCATTCTGACTGTTTTTCTTGAGTGATCTTTCTTTAACAGAAGCAGACCTTGGGAAGATTTGTTGCAAGATAGTCATATAGTAATAGGTAGAAACAGAAATGACTATGAAAACCAGATGTTTTGTCTGGGCCTCTGTTCAGAAACAGGGTTTCAGTGTTGCCATAGATCATTTTTCTCTTGTTTACCCACACTGATTAAAGGGCATTTATCTAGTGGTGTGCACAATTGCTGTGTGCAGTTCTCATTTGCATGCTCTTACCACCACCATGATTTTGACATAACATGATATTTCTGTTGGCAATTTTCAGTTTATTACTTCAAGAATTATCATATTGGAAATCCAGGATATGAACAATATTTATTTTTATTTAAAATTACTAGGGGGATTTGTTAGACAATGCCTAGTTTTCTGACATTGGCAAGAGACTTTACAGAGTTTCCCCCTAATTTTCAAGGACAGATTTGTATTACACATAGATATTAACTTGTTATTATTGTAGGATTTTATTTGCTTTAATTTAGAAAATTTCAGGCTTACTTTATTTTGACTTTGCAAGACTCTAAACTCTTCTCCTTTGGAAATATCCAAAAGGTATTATTTGTGGTTCCAATCCTGGACTGAGTTTGTTTTAGAACCTAAGTCACTTAAAGAAAGGGAAGGAAAGAATTGATGATATAGCTTTAGTTTTATTCTGTGCATTCTAACATGTTGCGGTACATTTTTCCCACAGGTTCACATCCAGCTTTCAGAGTGGCACCGTGCAATTTTTCTTCCACAGGCGTGGCTTGCATATATGAATCGAGCTTATCATGCCATTTTACAGGTAATGAAATCATAGGATGGTTTTCTTTGGGGGAATGTCACCTTCTTACCTCAAATTTTACTGCAAATGTGTATTTAATACAAAAGTATTTGGGAAAATAGCACTATCAAGCGTGTGATAGTTATTTTTACTCACAAAAGAATGTGAGGCATATATATATCAATGCACCTAAAGTTTAAGTGTTGATGCCCCCCAAATCTGTGTCTCCCAGTCAGAGCTCCCTACTGAGCTTCCTTCTGAGTTCCACTCTCCCCTGTCCCACTGCCTTCTGAATGTCCCCACTTGGCTTTCCCATAGCACCTTGACTTGAGCGCATCCCAAACTGAGCTCATCGCCTCCCCCTGTACCTGTGCTTCCTCAAGCCTGACTTGCTACATCTCCAGTTTTATCTCTGAATCCTTCCTCTAAATTTTTATGTTTCCGTCTTGCTAAATTTATTTTCCCAAACTTAATGTGTCTTCGCTAACCTCTTGGCTTTTCCACACACTTTTTTCTATGTAAGAACCTGCCATTCCCTCTTTGTTTACCTAATTTCTTCTCGTTTTTTAGATCAGTATATCTGGGCAGGCACTTGAGTGCCTTACTCTTCTCCCCACTGGATTATACACCCCTCTATGTATTTCCTTAGTACCTGTGTTTCCCTTTTTGAAGCCATTATCATGTTGGTTATTTGTCTGGGGCCTCCAATTGTCTCTCTGCTTCTTAAGAGCAGGAGCTGTGTTTCTTTCTCTTGTTGTCTCTGGCATCTGACGTAAGTGTCTAAAACATAAAGAATGCCTACTAAATAAATAAGATATACTCAATTCAATCCAATAATATTATGTTATAGTTTGTGAATTTTTAAAATTAGAAATAACTTTTGATTAGTTGGGGAATATATAAACAGTTAATATAAGAAAACAACTGTTCTTTTTCCTAGCTTGAAATTTATTGTTAAGAGTGATAGAAAAAATCTGATCCTACCTAAGTAATTTCTGTCCCAGAATAAGATTCTCATGGAGTCTCAGGAGTGTGGTGTTATGGTTAAAGATAACAGCTGTCCTATAAAATGAGGTGAGCTGACCTATGAAAGGAGGGATGGTAGGAGTAGAACGGAGGAATGACTGAGCGTCTGAGTATTCATCTCTCATCTCAAATTATAACCTTGCTGTAACATATCTTATTGATCCTAAATTTATAAAATACTGTTATATCTTCAGAGATTCTGATTCATTAGAACTGAGTGGCGGACTGTGAATCTCCATGTTTAACAAGCTGCAGGTGATTTTAATGCATTTACTCTACCCAGCCAGACTTTGAGCAACACTGCTTGTGATGGTTCCCCCAAGGCACTGTAATCTGCATTTTAAAGATTTTTCTTTGGAATAATTGTTTCCTTTTGCTCATTGTTTCCTTACTATTTTTTTTAATCTTCAGCACCATCAGAATACCCAATATGTTTTGAGTAGATACATGAGTAAATGAATGAATTACTCATGTCTCTACATGTTTTTTTAACTTCATTATATACATCCTGGCCGATTATAGTTTTTATTCAAGAAGAGTGAGATTTAAGTCAGAGTATGAAATTTTTCTCATATTCATTTCTCCCCAAGTAATTTTGCAATGTTTTTCTTCACCAAACATTTATGGAGCATTTTTTACTGGCCAAGCCCCATGCTGAGTGTGTGGGATATAAAAGGGAATAAAGCACTCCTTCCTCCCAATGAGCTTCACGTCCAGTGTGGGAAACTAACATGTCCACTAGCAATTCCAGTACAATATCTCTGATGCTTTAATAAAGGATGTACCAAATGCTATAGGCACCTGGAGAAGGGAAGAATAGCTCCTCCTCCTGCAGAATGAACTGAGAATTTTATTTATCTCTTAGTGTAAGAAAGGCTAAATTGAATAGTATTATGGTATAATTCTTACAGATGATTTGCATTTGATTGAAAAAAAGAAAAACTCTACCATTTTTTTTAGAAGAGCTACCATTTATTGAATAACTAGTGTTTGTCCAACACTTAACATATATTATTTTAATTAATCTTTACAGAAAGCCTTTGAAGTTGGTGTTATCAACCTCGTGTAAAATGGGATTATTGGTGGGGAAGCAGGGTTAGCTAGGAAAGCAAAGCAAATGGCTCAAAACCCAACAGTCAGTAAATGAAAGAACTGAAACTCAATCTGGACTCTTCTGACTCTGGAGCCTCTGCCTTTTCCACTGTACCATGTGTTTTCACTAACATCATCATTACTTGTAATAATAAATAATTCAAATTTGCTTAATATTTTAGAGGACAGATCTATTGGTAAAAAGCCTGCTGACTATGTTTAGTAATGCAGGTTGTTATTTTGCTTTTCTACTGTTTCAGGTGATGGTGTATATCTTTATTTATTTATCATTTAAGTTCTCTTTATTTTGGGTTTCTAAGTCTAGTTCCGTTGAGAATTGGTGACAGAAGAAGTGGAACTTCAGTATTATTTGAAAGTACAGCAATGTGTTTTATGCTATCTCTATTACTTGAAAATACACTGATGTGTTTTAGCTGTTAAAAAAGCATTTAAAATGAGTCTACACCCTTAAATAGGATTTATGGCATCTTAGAAGAATTGGAGCAAGTGCCAGACTTCTTGCCTATGTCAAGAATTTCTGTCCTGCAGGACACTTCTTGTATACAGGAGTTATAGTTACTTCCATCTAGACATATTTTGTAGCGTTAAACTGGAGGATCATTTAGAGGAACCATATTTTATTCAATTAAGCCTAGGAGACACGCTAAAAGGTGCATTCTACATTCCTTCCTGGAGGCTGATTAGGATGTGAATTAGTTTGAGATCTGAACACTACTAGTGGCTTCTGCTTAGGTATATGATTTCAGCCTCATCTAATTCTTCCACAAGAACTTGGAGTTGTGAATTATAAGCATATCAAAGTGGTTGACATGGGGAAGTATTTGGATTTCTTCCCATTAAGGTGAAAAATGCAGAGCTGACTGACAGCATAGAGATGATTTTGGTAAGGAGCCATTTACAGTCTTTTTTACCTTGTTGCCCTTCTGGGCTGCCAAGGAGGTTCCGATCTCCAGCCTCTGTAAAAAGGGCTATTTGGGATTGTGAATATTACCTCAGTAGTAGAGAAGTATGAAAGCAGGGTGATTACAGATACATGTTTCCTGAGTTGGTCAGCTAGTTGCAAAATAATCTGAAATCAAAGCCAGGGCCAGGAATTGTGATCCCTAATAAAATACTCTGACCATTTGTAAGGTTTTTCTTTTTTTGTGTGTGTGTTTTTTATTTCTTTCTTCGTTTTTAATGTACAAGGATACTTTAAGTTCATGAAAAGATTGTTTTATTTGTTAATTCTATTTTTCCATGAACTTTTTGAAGTACTCTCCTATAGTGAACTAGGTGAAATTGTTCACTATTATCAGCAAGGTCCTGGTTGGATAGACTAGAGATAAATTATGAGGAATGTGAAAGATTAATATTGGAATCTACAGGCAATCCAAAAATCTCAATTCAGGTGATCATTTCAGGCTTTTCTCTCCCAATAAGTGTTTTCCTTCCTTAACCACAGCTATTTAACAGAAGCAGAGATGACTGAGTTGAATGCCACTGGATCTGTTACCAGTAGCCAAGAATTTGAAGGCAAGGTGGATCTGAATAAAGAGCCCGATGTGGACTGGGTGGGAGGGGTTAGGAGATGTTCCAGAAGAGCAGATGGAAAGAAACAGAGATTCCGAGAAAGAAAAAATATGAAATTTTCTTAGTTATGATAGAATAGTTGTACTGGTTTATGACTACAGGGGAGATTAGAAAAGTAGGCCTTCTCAAGAAGCTACATGTATTCTAGCTTTCTTGTGTTTTATTTCTAAACAGATTTTAACCTTTTAATTTCCTCTTCATCTTTTTTGGAAAAGCATCATAGGAAATAAATGTTTTAGGAGTAAGGAGGCATAATTTAAGAAGCATGACTAGCTTCTTAAATTAGGATGTAAGAGAGGGAATAAAAATTTTCTATTTTGCTTTGCCTGCCCTTCTGGGAGGACAATATCAATATTAAATATTCATAGTAATATCTTGCTAGTTTGATTGTCCCTGATACCTTGTTCTAAGAGACAGAGGGGAGAATAAAACGGTCAGGATTCTATCTGAAAATATGGAGATGGGGGTGGGGGGCTGGCTCAGTTGGTTAGAGCATGGTCCTGATAACACCAAGGTCCAGGATTTGATCTTTGTACTGGCTGGCCAGCCAAGAAAAAAAGAAAAAGAAAGAAAGAAAATATGGAGATTGAGGATGGATATGATTGAAGTAAAGAAATCATGAAGGATGTATGTGAATAGAGTGTCCATCAAATTTAATCCCAGAGTTCCTGAAATGGTGAGCCCTGGGGTACAGTGAACCAGAAATTGTGCTAAATACAAGGACTCTGGACTGATAAAAAAGTCCTTCCCTTCAATGTCTGGCAACTGAAAGTATATGAAAGAAATACAAGGATGTGTAACTTTATAGTCTGCATATTACATTTTTGGGAAACTTTTACTCCCTGAGGTTATGCAGATTAAAAATATGAATTATTTCAGGAGGGATTTAGGTATATTCATGAAAGATGGTTTAATAAGAAGATAATAAAAGGAGATAGGAATTTTTGGTTATTGACAAGAAATCTAGTAGTAATAGCTATTATTTGTTATCAGGCACTATGCTACATAGACAATTTTCAACGTTATTTAATGTGATGCTCTAATATCATGAGATAGTTGTTAACTACATTTTACAAATGAGAAAACTGAAGCTTAGAGAGGTAGAGTAAGTTACCCCAATTTACACAACCAATAAGTGGGAAGTGTCATTGGACCATGGTCGTCTGAGTCCAGAGCTTGCATCCTTAACCCTTCATGCTACAGTTCTTTTTTCTCCAGAGTATAGAGAGATACATGCTTTTCTTCTATAGAATACACCTTAGAACTCTAAAATCAATAAGAAAAAGACAACCAACAGAAGAACTGACAGAATAAGAAATTCAAATGGTTAAGAAACGTGAAAAGATGCTCAATCTCATTAGTAAACAGTGAAATAAAATTAAAACCATAGTGAGAGCCATTTCATAGCCACCAGAATGGTTAAAAATTAAAAGTCTGACAATTCCAAATGTTGCTGAGGGTGTGAAGTAACCAATATTCTTATTTACTGATCGTGAGAATGTAAGCTGTAACAACCACTTCTGAAAATGGCTGGGTATTACACAGTACATAATATAATACACAGTCTGAGTTCTTGTCCAATTTAGTGTCCATCAATAAACCAGTATTTTACTTACATTTAAATAATGTAATTGGTGAAGGAGTAAAGGGGAAAGCATCTGGTCAAAATAATCCTGAGAAAAATAAACATGGAAAAGATAATAAATATTTGAAGGCCTTCATCTTAAGTGGATAATATTAGCTATATTTTTATTATATGGTAGATGTTGAGAATTACAATATCTATTTTTCTAAGTTCACTCAAGAAACAGAAATGAAACAGAAATGTAATGTGGGAGCTGTTGGAGAATAACTTTTGTTGTATATCACCTGAATCTTAAGCATTACATACTTATCCAACTTATTTTCTACCATTCTGTTATAATACTCGTACCTAGTGCCCAATCTTGTCACAGTGTTTTGTTATGCTGAAAATTATCAGTTGCTGAAAAGGCACATCACTACCATATAGGGGATTTTTTTTTAATGGGACCAAATTGCTTTAATATATATCCCCCAATGAAGTTCTCTTCACTAAATTTGCCAAATGTACAACTTCTCCAGGATGTACGTCTTTGGTGAATGTAGAAATACCTGAACAGTGATCCGATTATTCCTCCTCACACATCCTCTTTCATAATCTAATATCCTATCAGGAACACTGAAGTTCAACTGGGAAAAGGATATGTTTTTGTTTCCCAAAGAAATTGGAAGATTACTTTGGTCATCAAGTCTGCATGCTGATTTATGCTGTGTTTTTTGCAGGGAAGAATAGGAGAGCTGGAG